TACACTTGGACTGAAGGCTTCTTGGTTAGATCCGCGAAGATTAAAACAACTTCTATTTTTTACTCATAATAAATGAAGAAAAGTAGAAGACCAAGTTCGTGCAGAATTACTTGCATTAGAACCTATTCATAATGAAAGTAATACTGAAATAACACAGGCTACCATAGAGCAAAATAGTAATTCTCTGAGTGCTGAATTATGGGGTTCGCATTTAATACCTGTTATACTAACTGCTACTGAGGATGAATTGACGAGATATTTGAGAAAACAAGTTGTTCACAGGGATCAAGACCCTTTAACATGGTGGAAAGAAAGACGTGCAAGTTTTCCATTGCTCTCTCAACTTGCCCATAAGTATTTATCTGTTCCCACAACATTGGTCCCATCTGAACGTTTATTTTTCGATGCTGGTGCTCATATTTTAGCGAGAAGAACTCATCTTTCTCTGGATTTAGTTAATTAGATGTTATTTTTAAAAATGAATAGTGGTAATTTTTCTATTGTTTCATCAGAAAATGAATAGGCTTTTTGAGAGATATTTGTTAGTGATCACATTTCTGAAGATTGTGTAATGAAATGCTAGATCTTTGAAACAAGTATATAATTACTGAATATTTTCATATAAGCGCATTTAAATTACTTGATTCTAGTAATTTTAAAATTTATTATCAGAGAACGTAAATTAAAATGTAATCAATAAGGTACACTTTCCAGCATTCCGTGATGTCACAGGTTTTCTAAAAAAAAAAAGTGTGATTAATATTTTAACCTCCGAAAAACATAAGGTAATATTTGTCTAAAATATAGTTACATGAAATTTTAGATATTGTTAACTTTGATTTTATTGCAGGATCCAGGCTTATTTAAAAACTGCCTTCAAGAAAAAAAAAATAAAATAAAAAAAAATCGTAATTTGTAAGCCAGCACAACAAATCAATGCATGTGATTGTCTACAATAAAAAAAAAATTTTTTTAATTAAGAACTTAAGTATTAACGCTATGCATCAGTAAGTACACCTCTGATTGCATATGGAGTTTTGAACTAGTTTAGTTTATACGTTAAAACTAATCAAACCCCTTTTTACTTAGTCAGGTTAACAGAATATGCACAGAGATTGAAATTAAAATTACTATTCAAATTGAATCATAAATATAATTATAGTCTTAAAATTTATCTATACTAAAATTTTCTTTAGATTCTCAGTTATGACAATATAAACGTTTAGAAATAGTTAGTCTTGACTACAGTAGACCTATTTGATAGAATTTATTAATTCGGTTGGTCTGTTTGTTAAAGTTTTATGATCCTTTTTCTTATTAACATGAGGTATGCTTCTTTTTTTATTAATTTATTTAGGATTTTGAAACATACGTATATTCATACACATTTTAAATTATATTTAGGAATTTTAACGCTAAATTTCATAATTATATGTGTGTTAAATATTCATTTTAAAAAATGTATTTTTTTTTTTAAATGCGAATTTAACAAAAATAATTTAATACTACGGATTAATTAGAATATTTTCTAATTATCCAAATTGCAAAATTTTTAATATAAGACTAGTAGCCGGTTGCAGAGAATGCTCATTATATATTTTTTAATAATTTTGTTAATAAAATTTAAAACTTTGAGCTTATTTTATTAGGAAGTAGAACCTTATTAGAGATTAATTTATAATAATATTGCTCTGTGCCTCAACATTTAAGAACATTGGTAAAAATGTTTGAATTTCGATTTTTTAGTTCATTTGTTTTTATAAGAACTGTAATCTGGTCTTTAGTTTATATAATTAATTAGACAGATTATCGGTAAGTGATTGCACTTATAGAAGTGCTTGTAAAATAAGTCTTAGCTCCAAAAAGGTTTAATCATATTTGTAACATAAAACTCAACTGGGCCGTCTCTTTTGTTGAATTATTGCTACTTTCATAATTTCTGGACCTGATAAAAATTGGCTGAATGATTTTTCATCTAATTCGATTAAGTTTGTAATTTCGGCATAATAAATTCAATAAAATTAATATATATACATCAAAGCACCTTCGTTTGAAGATGAAAAAATTTAGAGAGCCTATCGTTTCGAAAAATTGGATGTTAATATATCTTTTTTAAGTCGAGCTCTCAAGCATTTTCAAAGATATGGATGTATTAAAAAGCTTCTGTCACTTTCAGGAGAACCACGTTCACTGAACATGAGCGATATAAAATATCTTAAAACTCTAATAAAAAAAAAGCTTGATTAGTATTTGTATAAATTACAACCCAAGATGGAACTCTGGTTAGACGTAAAATTAGTCTTATGACAATTTAAAAGGCTACAAACCAACTTGTATATACAAATAAAAAGTGATGGTTTACATATTATACAGGATCTTTTTTTTTTGCTATCAATTCCAGGCTCTATATCATACATCTTAGGATATCTAGACTCTAAAGGAATATTCCCATCTGAAGCTAACCATCCGCCTTATAATTTATTGTA